ACTCTGTCTGGAGCACTTAATTAACTAGTGCTGTCAATAATATTACAACGTATTTACGTTCTGGTCTTATTTAGCGATAAGCAATATGAAAATCATTTTGTTTATAAGAGGTTTCAGTTTTTACATGGTCATTCATATTGTTGTTATGTTGTTGTTGTTGCTCTACATTGTGTAAGAAATGCGTCTTTAATAAAAAAAATTGTTGTTGCTTTTGTTTTATTGGTAGCATTTGTGATGGCTTTGCAATTAGTAGAGTTAACTATAGTTGAGTTGTGGCTCAGTGCTAGGCACGACAACAAGTGCTCCACAAAGTGGGTCGAAACAGAGGCGCTGGCTGGGTGGAAAGTGGAGTGGGTGGAGTGGTGCGGCAGGTGTTGGGGAATTTAATATTTATGACAGATACACCTGTACTCAAACCAAATGCAATTGCTAAACTACGCTCCACTTCTAACAAATAAGTATGGGAAGTTCTGTTTTTGACCACTTGCTGGGGAAGCAGAGATGACTCACAGTCGGGCATTATGAGCAAATATAATCGAGTGATTACTAATTCGACATCGAAAGAAATGCAGATAAATGTGCGGCAAAACTAAAAAGTTTGAAATTGGTTTCTGCTGAATTCTAGGCAAATATTATAGTAATATATATTTCTACGACTCCAATGTTAATTATGTATCAATAATGATTGATATAAACTTGAATGAAAATATAAAAAAAATATATACATATGTACATATATTAAGCGCTGATATCATTTATATAAATTTTGGGTATGACATATTTAGCTGTAGCAAATAAATATATATTTATTTATGCTCTAAACTCTGTTTCTTTAGTCTATTGATATTTTGCAATATAGTATAGAGTTTAGAGTTTGATTATTGTTATTATAAAATTTTTTTATTAAAATACAGTAACTAAATCTCAAACTTGACTCTGAAGATATTCTCTCGTTACGAAAAATATGATAGAAAAGATTGTAAGCATAATTTTGATAATAGAGTTGTAAAGAGTTTCATTCATAACTGAGCCCACAAAACATTAACGGAGAATTAATTAAATATTAAACTTTCTAAAATAATTGATATAATATTTTTTAGATCCTATGCAGCTATGTCTTGATCTACAAACTTATATGTTACATACAGCTTTCATCATATCTCTTATGTTATCTAATCATCAACTTACATCGATTTTGCATCATATGAACGGCAGCAACGTCTCGGGCGTTATTGTTGTTCGCCTTTAATAGATCATGCTTTAAGGAATTGTTATTATCCTCGGGACTAGCTGTGCGCCAGTGTAGCTCCGACATAACCATTTTCAATTTTCAATGGATCGGTGTATGGGTATATGGTATATATAATGTTTTATATATAATAATAATAATCTTCTTTTCCTTAGTTTTTATTTGATTTTTTTGTTTTAAGATATGTCAAAGTTCTCGCAACTAATTTGTCACTGAATAGTTTTTGGTTGTTTTGCAACACTGACGACACTGCATAACACTGGCTTCAAAGTTTGTTTACTCTAAATATAGTTTTTTTTTTTTTTGTTATTTGGTATTATAGTTATTTTCGCTTTTTCTCTTGTGATTATTTTGTGAACTGGCTCGGTGTGTTGCGCCGGCCTGCGTGCAAACGCGTTCGTGTTTCGCTTGAAACTGACAGTCGAGCAACCGTTGCGATGCAAAAGGACGACTCTCCACGTTTGTATCTGATGGATAATCTAGCTAGGCCTGTAGACGACGACGGCGACGACGACTACGACGATGAGGATGATGATGATTGAGCTAATGATGTTGATGATGACGATGATGTTCAGCTGCTGTTGTTGTTGCTACTGCTGCTGCTGTTGATAGTATTAGCCGGTATAACTGCTGCTGTCTATAATTCTTTCTCTTTCACTCGCTCTCTGCGTGTCTGTCTCTCGCCTCTTTACTCTGTCTGTTCTGAATGCCTTCCACAGCCGGCATTGACTTTGTTTGAGTGCAAGATTTGAGTTGAAATTTTGTGTTTTTGCGCCCAAATAAAAATCTGTTTAAGTTAGGGGTGGTTTTTGCCGTTACTTAAAAAACAGCTCCTTCTACGTCTTGTCTTTCTTTTTTGGTGCTTTTTTGCTATGTTAAAAATTACACACGAACGACGAGCTGCACGATGTGCTTTAGCGGAGTCAACGCGCTTAACTGGTTTTCACGTCGGCGCGCCAACTGCATTTGGCTCCACAGCAAAAAAAAAGCCGCCAACGAGCGTTCGTGTGTGTGCCTATGTGTGTGCTTGTCTGTGTGAGCTTAACGAACGAAAAGCACGCTCTCTCTCTCTCTCTCTCTCTCTCGCTCGCTCGCCTGTTTCGTGCTGCTTACATAGAGAGCGTTTGCCTTTGCTCACTCATTATTTACCGTTCTAGGTTTGAATGCCTGTTAGAAACGCGTTCCACATACATTCCCATTCGCTGCTTGGAGAAATGAGCGTGCGCTCGCGCGCTTGAGTGTATTGGTCGGCGAGTGAGTGAGACTGTGTTTGCATTTGAGCGTGCACGAGAGAGGGAGTGTAACTGTGTGAGCGAGTGTGAGCGAATGTGAGTGTGATTGTGTGTGTCGTCTGACTGCTCCAACATTTTATACGTTTTAAAATTTTACTACAATGTCTCGTGTGAGTGTGTGTGTGTGGGTTGTCGGGTGGCGGGCGGCGTTCGTTTTGTTCGGCTCGGCTGTCGTTCGCTGGGCTCCATTGTGTCTGTGTGTGCGTTAGTGTGCAGTATGCGTGCGCTTGTTTGGGGTGTGGCTTAAAATTTAAATTTAGCTTTCAAATGGCGTTGGCGTCGACTGCGACGGTGTGTGCGTATGCATGCGTGTGTATGAGTCTGTGTGTGTATGCATATTATTTTATGATTGGCGCACACGCCTCAAAATCTGAGTGAACGTATGTGTGTGTATGTACGTGTATATGTTCTATGTAAAAATATTTTAAAGCTGCGTCGCTGCGTTGACGCCGACTGCAGCTGCGCGTAGCGCCCATTGTCGTCTGCTTTTGGCTCTTTGTTCCTCCTGCTCTCACATTTATTTGCCATTCATTTATGCACACATGCTCGCAATGCAGACATCGTCCTGCCTCCCTGCCAGCCAGCTCCTAGCTATTTCCCTCTGCTGCTCTGCCACCCACTTTGCAAGCAGTTATTTCTCTTCTTTCTTTCGTACTTCTTTTCTTTTTTTTTTTTGTATTTTATTCAATTTATATTTATTTTATTTCTTATTTATTATTATATTCATGTGAGTTTCATTGACGTAGATGTTTAAATTGAATTTTACTAATTGCTCGAATATTTAGTTAAGCATTTATTTAAAAATAATAATACTATAAAAATTTAATCTTATTTATGTAGCATTTTTATTTACTGTCGCATAAAGTATTTTTTACTCTGGAAATATTTTTTTTTTAAGTCAGGTTTTCCCTGTGAAAACGCACAATTTTATTTATCACACGATTTTCCGGGAAACTTCCGCAAAGAAAAATAATAGAGACAGACAAACAAATTATAACGAAAAGTCAAATTTCAAGGTGAAAAATATCTGTGAGATACATGTACTACATATGTATATACATATATAAAAAACAACTTGCAGCAGGTAAAAGATGCACAATTTTTTATGGCCAAAACGAAAAAAAAAAAAAAAAAAACAGATATCATAAAAAATTGTTACAAAGTCATAAAAAGTCAGAAGTCAGGTAAATGAAAATCGTACGAAATTCATTTGTCCTGCCAAGAAGCATTTAACGCCCGAAATGCGCAACGCTTCCGACACTCTGATAACCACCTAAAGCGAGCTCAAGTAGGCTACGGGTACTTGAACTGTTTAGATACCCTGTAAGTGCAGAGTTGGACTAAGTGGGTATGAGTGAAGTGAGACTAAGTTTATGTGGGGTATAAGTAAATATAATAATTATATATAGTAGTAGACTAGATAAGTAAACTAACTAGAATCTAAAAATATTTTCTATATTTTGTCTTAACATAAGTTAAAAAAATATATTATAAAAATATAAAACTTCATTTTTAAAAATTGAAAAAAAAAAATGTTTAATTTTTTACAGCGTATCTGTAAACCATTTTTTTCATTTCATTTTTTTTCCACGTGTAGTTTTTGCGCTGCTTGCGTCTTTTACGATGCGTTGTAAATTGCGGCGATTTCCACGTAAATCATAAAAAACGAAAACTAGATACATCTCATATGCCCCGATACCCTGCACAAAGGATGCTGCACGCAGGATGCTGCTACATGTTAATTAGACTCGAACCTTAACCGTTTGACTGACTTGACTGTTTGAGCATTGGGCTACTGGTTCTGAATCTCTAGCGGCCGCTCTCACGTTCGCAAGGACACGTTAAATAGGTAAACGGCTTTCGTACCTTTGACTTTTGACTGTTTTTATTTTCCAAGTGTACTGCGCATATAAATCGAAAGAACAAAATATGCTAACTATTTGGCTAACGTAAACCTCGCTCATTGCTGAGAATTAGTTAAGTCAATGCAAAAGGCAAAGATCATAAAAGTTGAAGCGTTTTTTATAGCCTGAGCCCAGTGAGAGTGAGTAAGCGGAGTATGTTGGTTATGGGAGTGAGTATGTAACAGGCGGAAGGGAAAGTGAAGAGGGGAGATCGTGGATCTAATAGGTGAGAGAGACCATATATTAAGCGTAGGTTTTTCTAGGGGCACATTTGGATAATCGATTACTTAACGAGCTTTAATCAAATTATGTCGAATTTTATTTCAGAGTATACATCTACACTTTAAAGAGCTATAATTATCAGATTTATATATAATCTCTCAGCAGATATCCGTTGCAACTGCATTAAGGGTATCTTCTAGTCAAGCACCCTGCGCTAGATTACTTGTACTTGAATTTTATTGAAGGCAACCGAAAAATATATTTAAAAAAAAAACTAAAATACTAAAAAATATATAAAATGAAAAGGTCAAGAAAAGGGAAATTCGTGTAGTTGAGAATTTGTTCTTGTTGGTCAAAAAAGTGAATAAAAGTGAAGAAAAGTGAATTGTCTAATGAAGTCATAAAGGTAGTTGGCTCTGCGTACATGCAGGTATTTCCTTTTTCCTTTTCTCTACACCTCTCCACCTCTCTCGCCGGATCCGTCTTTTCGAATGGCTTTTCCACAGAGCCTATCTGGTGGGCTTGTTCTTGCGGCTTTTGATTTTCAGTTTTCTGATTTTTAGTGCCCCATAAATGTGGCAGAAGGGAAACAGTAAAGCGATTTCTTATCGGTGAAAAGAAAACTGTTGCTGATAAAAATCTAAATTAATGAATGAAAGTTTTCAACAGAAGCAACAAATTTACTAAAAAATACTATTTTTTTTTAAATTTCATTTTTAATGACCGAATTTAATTTTCTCTTTCATTTGATTTACTCTTTATCATATAGGATTTAATATTTAGCCACATTTTATTTCCATACATTTTTTTTTACCTAAATAAACTACGAAATTCTTTTCAGACACTTCTAAGCAATACAATGATCAATTTTTCACATTAATTACTTGGCCTTCATTAGCTAGCCCACAGACAAGATTTGCTTAGGCCTAAAACTCGTGGGAAAACCCACCCAACGAAAAAGGAAAGAAAAATCTTAAATGCAACTCTCAAGATCAGCGAAAATAAATCAAAAAACCTTTTGCAATTAAAAACAAAAAAATGTAAAAACTTTCCCAAAAAAGGAAAAGAAAAATCAACCCTCGGTCCACCAACAAAAAAGAGAGGAAAAGAAAAACACAAATTTTCATGCAAAAAATTGCATTAAAAAACCTACTGCAATTGGGGGTTGATAGGGAGAAGCGGAAAAGTTGGCACCGCAGCAAAATGATATGCATATGCGTCAAGGACTACCTGAGTGGGTCTCGAAGTGTCCCCTGCTCGAGGGGTGTCAAATGCACGTCAACTACCGTAACGAGCTGCTTTCTTTTTATTTTTTTCTCTACTTTTTTAAGGATATTTCCTTAGCGCGCAGACAACGCAATTGATTTGCAACGTTTTCTTCTATTTTTTCGACCCAAAATAAGGCATGGAATAGAGGCCGTTTTTTTCCATCTATTTTGGTATTTGTAAGGACATCAATAAAATGCTAGACGTCGTTGAATGTCATCGTGCTCGATGCATCATCATGTTACAGAGACAAAGCACGAATCAAATGCGTTGTTATTCGAGCTATATAGATTGGGTATGTAAAAAGTGGAAGCCAAGATGCATGCAAAATTGTTGCCAGGACTCGCGCCAAAAATCAGATCTTAGAGTAGAGGCCTGAATGTGAGAGAAATGGACTGTTGACTAATTGAAATTTTATTCGAATTCTTTATATATCTCTTGTATGTGTACATAAAACATAAACTTCTTCTTAGATTTGAGATGCTTTAAAGCTGATAGAATAAGGCACAGATGTCTCATATATACATATATTGTTTATATACACGTATATGTATATATACGTATGTATAGGGGAGTCCAATTTCCTACCCTAAATCGCAGATATTTGCCAAATGCTGACAAAAATGTGATTTTTATCGCAAAAATTATTTTTGACAGCATTTACGAGTTTTCAGCGAGGGGGTTGAGAGAGGCTTAGAGCGAGTTGATGCTAATGCTAAATGGGTTTATGATTGACAAACATATACAGCTACAGTTCTAAAATTTGGTGGTGCGACTGAACAAGGGAATAGTTTAGATAGGAGCTCAGCTTTACATCCCACATACTATATCATTATATTCCAAAAATCTTCTTAAGGTCTCACTTGGAAATAAGCATAGATAATTTAAAAGCAGTATTTTTTCTGCCATTATCACATTTCTCTCTCCTATATCTCTGTTTCCCAAGTTCCCATATCATCTTTAATCTTGAACTTCGTCCATCTACTCACCGTTATGTTGCTCCTGCTTGACGCACTGCTCCAATTGCTGAGCATCCTTTGAGCTTTGCTCGCAGAGCTCACGAGGCTCCTGTTCCTGTTCGTCCTGTGCTTCGCTCTTCAGCCGAAAGGAAGACAACAAAGTGTCACTGTTGTTGCCAAGCGTTGTTGCCCGCTGATCCTCCTCCTCCTCCTCTTCCTCTTCTTCACGCACATCGTCGCTATCGTGCAGCTTTAGTTGACCATTATCCTGGCCATTGCTCGTTTCGTTGTGTTCCATAGTCCTGCTAACATCACGCATAATTGTGTCCACAAGCGTTTCATCCTTCTCAAATTTAAAGCCCACTGTAAGAGAGAGTGAGAGAGAGAGAGGGAGAGAGATGGAAACCATTTTGTTAGTTTAGCTGTTTTTTATGGTGATTTGCATGGCTTACATAAGAGCCAATCAAAACGCATTGCTTATCAGCAGCGAAAGGGTTGGAATTTACATAAGCCAACATTATGAATAAACCCCCCATATAAAAACACTACGAAAATCTCAGCAACCCTTTTTTACGACATTTGAATAAGCCACTCGCACGTAAAAAACGTACGCCCATAAAAAAGGGGGTTGATTTACATAATAAAAATGAAAATGTGTGGAAACGAAACGAGCTGTGGATTTCATTTTAATATTTGCCTCGAGGGAAATGGAAATGCGCAAACTCCTGGCGGAAGCAAAGGACGCAAGGACTAAAGCTGAGGGAAGCTAAGAAAGTGTGAAAATGTGTAAACGATTTTTAGGGCCCCGATAGGACATGCTGCTGACACTGTCCAAGGGTCCTTAAGCAGCAGCTCATATGGAAATAATTTTCGATTTCGTGCAGACTTGAAGTGCGAAAGCTGACAGCTTGATATTAGGTAATGAATGAATCTTGAGGGGGTTTTCTGAGTAGGATATTTCTTATAGAAATCGAATAAAGAGAAGAATGAATTATTTGTAAATTGAAGTAATATGTCGGAGAATATATAAATTAAAGTGTTAATCAATTTGGGAAACCAAATTAATGAAATAATTGTAAATAATATAGATATATAAATACAAATATAACTAAGAAATAAATTTGCAAGGTTAATTAGATATAGCATACAAATATATATATTTATATAAAACATTATATATCAAAAATATTTAAAAAACTGAAAGTATCAGAAGTCAGCTTTAAAATTCACCTTTAAATACTTTTAGATTGAAAATCTAGATAGAAAATTTATGCCTTCTAGATAGAAAATATCTCCAATCTACTGTCTCATTTCTACCACAAAGATAATCCATAGGTTCCTTTCCCTTTCAGTTTTTGTTTTGTTTTTTATAGTCGCAAAATCTCTGACCAATTTTCTTGCTTCGCTGAACCAAAAAGAAAAATCTCTTCGAGCCTGTTGCGCAATCCGAACAGCGAGTGCTTCTAAAGGATGCGCCGCCAAGGATAATGCAACAGGCTGCAAGACAAAAAATAAAGTAAAAAAAAAAAAACTGCAAACGAATTGCCGTAAAACCGAAGCAGAGATAAGAATGTACCAAGTGAGAGAAAGAGACAAAAGCAATGGAATTATTGAATTTTTTACCGTTTGACAAAAAACTGGGGGAATATTAAAGAATTACGAGGAAGTGCCACCCAAAAAGGTAAACAGTAAAAGAGACCCAGAAGAAGAGAGCGAGCGAGTGAGCGAGAGAGTAAGAGTCATAAATCTGATGTCAGTTTTGGGTTTTAATTAAGTATCAAAAGAGCTCAATCCACATCAAAAGGCCAACCTGCAGCATCAAAAAGAAACAGAAATCTATGTCCTTTGGCCAGGTGTAAAGGTGCACACACACACGCGCACACGCACTGCAATTGCAGTAGCTGCAGCGTGGGAAGCGCAGCTTGCGCAAGGACAATGCAAAAACCGGCAACAGGCAAACACCAAGTGCCGTTGCACCATTGTTATTTGCCAGCCCGTCAAACGCTGCCCGCTGCGTAACGATCACACACAAAAAGAAGAAGAAGAAACAGTAGATATAAAGTAACTGTAACAGTTGCATTGCGCATCAAAAATGATGATCGCTTGGCATTGTGATTAGGTGATTTGTTTGCCCCATTGACACTTGTCTCCTTTGTGCAAACAGCGCAATTTATTGCACTCACATAGATCAACTTGGCTCAACGTACACACACAAACACACACACACACACACATGTATATATTCACATGCAGCTATACAAATGCCCGCCCAATGCATGTCCCAATCGTCAGGCCAAGCATAACATACGAATACACAAACACACACACACCAGCGCACATGCATACTTGTGTAGAAATGTAAAAAGCTCCAAGAGCTTTGCTCATTTAAATAGCGGCAGTTGCTCTCGTGCTCTGTTTAATGTGCTAAGCGCACGCAATAGGCCATCCCTCTTCCTCCTCCACCTCAACCGATTGCCGTTCTCTACGCAATTAGCGCTTTTAACTTGCGTTGGCGTTGGCGTCAGCATCGACGTCGGCGTCGTCTTTGCTAAGTGTTCTGCTCCTTTGCTCTTTTCAGCTCGCGCGCATTACACGCCTTTCTACACTTCGCTGCTCGTTTGCATAAATTTCGTGCCAGGCACTTCTTTTGCTCTCTTTCCGTCTCTCTTCCACTTGCTGCTCACACACGTTTTGCATGCGCAGGTGCAGCGGCTCGTGACGTTTGCCGTTGCTTTTTGTTGTTGTTTCTGTTTTTGTTTTATATTCTGAGCATTTGCTTTGTGCGCGCTTCGTGCGTTTTGTAATTGCAGTTATTTAGCCCAAGCAAAAGGCAATTGAAAAGAAAAAAAAAAAAACAACAGCAAAAAGAGAATTGCGTAAATTTTTATTTAATACATATATTTAAGTTTTAATTTTTCGTTATATTTGTATTTAAATACGAAATGCTGGCAATTGAGTGCAAAATGTGCGATAATTATGGACTGCTGCTGCTGCGTGCAAAGCAAAGTAAGGCGGGGCAGTTTAGGGTACTTTGGCATCTAAGCTAAACAAGAAGGCGTTAACCCTGCTGCAGACTTTGTTTATCTTCAAAGAAATATGCGAATAAATTGAATTTAGATGGTGTATCATTATCTCAATTGCATTTTAAACGTATTTATATAAT